GCGGGAGGCGTGCGAGCTGGCGGCGGCGCCGTCCCGAGGACGGGCAGTCGGAGGCCTTCTGTCTGGGAGAAGGGGGAGTCTGAGGGGACAGAGGGATCCGAGGGCATGGGGAGCATCAAGGTCGTGACTTAGAGTCCCTGATAGTGCAGGGGACGTCCAGGACCGAAGGTTTCCGGGTGTCAGAGAGGCCTGGGGCGCCCAAGGACTGGTGGGTGCGGGTTCTATGTGGAGGCATAGCCAAGGACCCGCGGGGGGTAAATAGCATGGGCACCAAGGACAAGAGGGACCCCTGGAAAGGAGAGGGCGGAGAAGGCAAGGGACACTACAGGCACAGGGAGGGGCAGGACAAGGGGTCTGGGAAGGACAGGGTGGAGCATGGTCATGGGTGGAGGGACAGGCTTGAGTCACCGACAGGGAGCCAGAATGGATGGACCTAGAAATCTGAGGCCCCAGGAAGGCTGTGTACCTGGGCAGGGAGCCCTGACAGCTGGCCTGAGTCTCCTGACCTGACCCTTGTCACCTAGCCCAAGACTAAGAGGAGCAGACGAGGAGTGGAGATGTCACTGCTCTCTGAGCTCCCAGCCCCCAGGACAGAACAGCCTTCTCTTGAGCTCAGCCAGATTCGATGTGAGTCCAGAACCAGCTATGTGGACTTGAACAGGTCACTTCCTATCTCCGGACCTCCATTTTCTTAGCTGTTGAGTGACGAGGATAGTGATAGAGTTGTGATGTTTCTCGGAGACCAGACGTTTGAGGCGTTAACCGTGCCAGCACATGGTAGCACTAGCTTGGGTAATTATCACTGGTAGATGACAGGAAAAATGGAGGCCGGGAGAGACTCCCAAAGTGGAGTGGTTGAGGTCCCTGCACACCTCCAGCAAACCGTTCCTGCCTGCCTACTTTGTAGGGTCTCAGCCCCTATGCTCACTGGTGCCAACTGGACCCTCCAATCTGGGTGTGGGTATGAGAATGGAGGTGAATGCCATCACTGTGTACCAGGGGCTGTGCCCCCTACCCCATGCTGTAGGCGTAGGATTCATTTTATCACCACACTGGAGTGGTGTAACCCCCATTTTGCAGGGGAGGAAACTGAGACTCGGGAAGGTGAAGTGATTAGCCCAAGGTCACACAGCCAGTGAGTGGTAGCTCAGTTTACTGCCTCCCTTAGAGCATCCCCCTCATCCCGTGGAAGGCAGCCAAACCGAGGGTGTCTAAAAGAGGGCTGTGGGAAAGCCAGAGATAGGCGCCGCTCTTGCCTCCAAACCTCAGCACCTGGGCGATAAGGCACCAGGGCCAATCCGAGCAGGAAGGAACGCAGGAGTTCATACAAGGAACGCAGGAGTTCATACAGAGAGTTCCATCTCTCAGCTGGACAAACCAAGATGGAGAGAGGGACAGGGACATTCCAAGGTCACACATTATTACTCTCCACTCCATGCTTCCAGGTGGGGGTGAGGGTACTTTTAGGAGCCTCAGGGTCTATACGACCTTCATCAGAGTCCTGTGGATGGAGATGGGGCTCCTGTTGTCATGGTGACCATCCTTCCAGGATCCAGCCCAGCTACAGGCAGCCAGGCACATCGTGACTTCGACTAGACTGAAATCTCTAGTTTCACATGGGAGAGGGCAGAGATAGACTGATAGCCCTTCCTCTCCTGGCCTCAATTTCTGCGCTTGGATGAATACACTCTTGGGGAAGGGTTCTAGTTCTGCCACCACCCGGCCATGTGATCGTGGAGTAAGGCCCTGGTAGCACAGTGGGTTATTAAGTGCTGGGCTGTTAACTGCCAGTTGGACCATTGAAACCCCCCAGCTGTTCCTTAGGGGCAAGCTGTGGCTGTTTGCTTCTGTTAATTTGCAGCCTCAGACACCTTAACCAACGGTTCTCCTAGAGCAGTGGTTCTCAACCTTCCTAATGCTGCCACCCTTTCATACAGTTCCTCAGGTTGTGGTGACACCCTACCCCCCAACCATAAAATTATTTTCGTTGCTACATCATCACTGTCATTTTGCTACTGTTATGAATCGGGCAACCCCTGTGAAAGGGTCGTTCAACCCCCAAAGGGGTTGTGACCCACAGGTTGAGAATCACCAGGCTAGAGGGTCCCTATGGATTGGAATGGACACAATGACAGTGGCTTTGGGGTGTTTTTTTCTTTGGGCCACTTGTTCCTCATCTTTAAAATTCTGGGGATGGACCAGGAGTACGGTGATATCTGAGGTGATATCAGTCTACCATAGGGTTAAGAGTGTTGATTTTAGAACTGAGAGATCTGAATTCAAATCTTGCCTCTGCCACTTGCTAACTGGGTGCCCTCAAGCAAAGGATTCTTTCCCACACTTCAGCTTTCCCACCAGGAAACTGAGAGGGCTGTGTGATCAGAAAGGAGCCTTAGTAGCACAGGAGGTTACTTCTTGAGCTACCAATTACAAAGTCAGCAGTTCGAACCCACTGGCCATTCCATGGGAGAAAAAAAAAAGAGGTTTTCTGCTTCTGTAAAGATTTATAGTCTGGGAAACCCACCCGGGCAGTTCTCCTCTGTCCTATAGCATTGCTATGCGTTGGCACCAACTGGATGATGATGATGATGATGAGTGATTGGGTTTGGTGTGGTAGGACTGCTTTGAGGATACGATTGAGATTAACATTCGAAGCATTCAGCACAGTGCCTGGCACCTGGTACTCTGAGCTCATGTGAGCGGTTATTCCTATTTCTTATTTTAAAAGGGCATTTAAGAGTTTGGCAATAAAGCAATTCAGTAAAATGGATTGGCTTCTTTTGCACCAGAGATGCAATTCAGATAAGCTTTTGAAGTGTCTACATTATAAGGCATTGGTTTTCAACCTGGGCCTGGGATCAAAATGCTTTCTGATTGCTAAAGAGGTCCTTTGGGGGCAATACGAAGTGCTGACTTCTGTCTGAATTCCAGGTTTGGGGGTTGTGTTATCAATGGGTTATTATAGGAAAATGGCTTAGAATCCAAAATATTTAAGAAAAAGTGATTGAAGAACCTTATCAGTTATCTTAGCACTGGTGAACACCCAAAGCATTTAAGCAAATGATCAGCGGCCCAACTCTGGGCGTTATGAATTGAGATCATGACTTATTATTTTGTATTATTAGTGTCCCAAGTGTGTAAGACTCTTGCCTGAGATTCTCTTGACTCTCTCCTGCCCATGCTTTGCCAGCTTTGGTCTGGGTACCAAGAAGAGCCTTCAGTAAATACTTTGTGTCTCGTTGTGACTCCTAAGCTTTAGAGAGTCTGCCTCAGTTTCTTCCTCTTGATGTGTCTGTGCAGGGGGCCGGGAGAACAAGATGCCCATTCTCATTTCCAAGATCTTCAAGGGACTGGCAGCTGACCAGACCGAGGCCCTCTTTGTGGGGGACGCCATCCTGTCTGTGAATGGGGAAGACCTGTCCTCTGCCACCCACGATGAGGCCGTTCAGGCCCTCAAGAAGACAGGCAAGGAGGTGGTGCTGGAAGGTAAGCACTGGGGTCCCCAAGGCCCAGCGGGGTGGGTGGGAGTGTTGCACATCAGTGGGGCTGAGAGGTGGGCAGGGTTGAACACAGAACCACGATGGGAAGACCTGCCTGGAGTTAGACAGCATAGGATGGTCATGGGAAAGCGGAGTCGTAGAGCCCTGGGTTTGCATTTCCTCTCTCCCGCGCACTAGTTGTACGGCCTCGGACAAGCCCTTTCATTTCCTCGAGTCTGCGTTTCCTCCTCTGTAAATTGGGAACATCACTCCTGCCTTGCTGGGTTCTGGGTAGGACAAGAGATACATGGTGGTGACTGCCACCATGTGACTCACGGAGGAGCTGAAGGGCCTCAGCCCCAAGTTCTTCCACAACCAAGGACCTGCCAGCCTGGAGCCCTGTCTTCCCTCGGGAGACAGGTAGCAGGGCATCAAATCCTTCCAATGAGGATCAGAGAGGGGGTTTTGAGGGGAACATTCGTAGATACGTTTCTTTCTTCTTTTTTGTTTGCTCGTTTTAAATCCATTTTATTGGCAAAGAATTCACATATCGTGCAATTCAGTAATTCAGTCACATCAAGAAGAGTTGTACAATCATCACCACCATTCTTCATTGTCCCCTCAGGGTGTGGCCGTTGCCTCCGGGTGAGACCCTTGTCTTCTCTGGGCCTCAGTTTCCCCGTGGGTTGTTACAGGCTCCTGCTGTGAGTGCCCCCTCTCTCCCTTAGGAGCTTTCTGCTTTGCTCAGCCTTTTCCTCACTCCACCCTGTCAGTTTCAGAGGCCTGTGGGGGCCGAGGAATGTGTCTTTGGCTCCTGTCCCAGAACAGGCCCAGGAAGGTGGCGGGGGCAGATAGGGAAGGCTGTGGCCAGCTAAGCTGCTGAACTGAGTTCGAGGCCCAGATTCTGGGAGGTCGCCTTGGTTTCCCTAAAAAGGCTTTCCAGGATGCCACAGAAGCAAACAGGCTGCAGATCCCTGGGTGGCCCCCAAGGCCAGGCTGACGGGAGCCCCAACCCTCCTCTCCATGTGCCTGTAGCAGTTGGATCTGCACTCTTGCCTCATACCTCCCTATCCTCTCAGTTTTGTGTTAGTTTGTTTCTCTATTCTCGTTAAAGGGCACAAATTCATTTTCTGTTTATACTTAAAAAGATAAAAATAAAAGGTTGACTCTGGAGGGTAGTCCCTACAAGCTTAAGAATATCAAACATATTTTAAAAGCAATGTTAATAACAAGATCACATGTAAATGGTATGCGTGTAAAAGAAAAACTAAACCCATTGTTATCCAGTCAATTCTGACTCAGAGACTCTGTAGCACCGAGAACGGCCCCCACAGGATTCCCAAGGCGGTAATCTTTGTGGATGCCAAATGCCAGAGCTTCCGCCTACAGAGCTTCCACCTACAGAGCAGCCAGGCTTGAACCACCGAGCTTTCGATTAACAGCCACACTCTTAACCATTGTGCTACCAGGGCTCCTGATAGGCAGTATAGGAAGCTTATTTTCCTCCCCAGTAATGCCTCATTGCTTTGGTATTTATAACCAGTTATTTATAACCAGCAGTGCAGTTTGAAACAGTTGACATGCATTGCAAGTTCATATTTTAGTGGATTTGTAAAGCTCTTTCTATTTTTGCACTTGAAAGTTTAGTTTAGAGATGGTAACATTTCTACTGTAGATACATTTCCAGCCCACGGTGAGTACCCCATGAGCCCCTCGCCCCATCTTTAGATTGGAGTGTTCTAGATGGGTTCTCAAAGGGTCTATCAGCTTATGAAAAGAACATCTCTGAATAGGAGGCCCTTGAAACATCTCTTGGCTTTTGAATCTAATATCCAAGCCTTCCCTCCTTGCATACACTCCCTTCATCCCTCACTCATCCAAGATCCATTTATGGACACTTGCTGCATGGCTGGTATACAGAGCAATGGGGTCGGAAGCTAAAGCAGACAGGGATCTTCTCCTGAAGGAGCTCATTGTCTTGTGGGGGAGATGACATATAAACACTGTCTTCCGTACAAACTTTAAAAGACATAACAGTCAGTTCCTAAGAGCCTGTCTGTTCTCTAATACATGTCTGTATTATACATCTGCCTTCTCTGGGCCTCAGTTTCCCTTTCCATTAGAGTTAGGCTGGATTGGAGATGACTGGTAGCTTTCCTTTTGGACGTTAGCTGCACTGGTTGCTACGGAGAGTTCCAAATGTAGAAGGATTGGGAGAGCTTTATCTGGGATCAACGGAAAGGAGATGACATTGATTAGTAATGTCTACCATGGACACAGTCAGGAAGAGAGGTGATCTGTGTAGTTTCAGGACTGAGGGTCTCCAGCTCTGGTGTTCTCTGAGGCTTTTCACAAAGGAAGGTCTCTCGTTGGTGAACCCTGCCCAGAGCATGTAGCACATAGCTGTCACTCAGGAGATGTTAGTGGCTTTCATGCTTTCCCTTTCCATTTATTTAGAATTGATTCTGTTTCATCCTCAAATGTTTGGTAGCAGCCTCTAGGGATGTGCCCTTTATAGGAAGTTTCCGAACCACAATATTAATGTCTTTAATAGGGTTATTCGGCTCCTCTACTTCTTGAATGAGTTTTGAGAGTTTGTGTCTTCCAAGGATTCTGTCCATTTCGTTTACATGGTCAAATCTATTGGCTGAAAGTTGTTCTAGATCTTTCCTGGTTACCCATCACTTAATAAGAGTCCTCCTTGTACTTTCATCTCCCACTCCTTTTATTCTGCTCCCCCCGTGGTCCCAGCCTAGTGGGGGAGACAGCCGAGCAAACCTAGCAGACCACTAAGGAGCCTGCCCCTGGGTCAGAGGAGGCAGTGGTCACTGCAGTCTGGTCAGGAAAGCCTTTCTAGAGGAGGCAATGCTGGCATGTGTTCCCCGAACACCAAGCAGATGTGGGTATGGGCTGGAAGAAGGGCGTTCTAAGCAGAGGGGTGAAAAGACCTGACTTGCCAGGGGCACTGTTGAGGAAGGAATTCTGCAGGATGCCAGTCTCAGCCATGAGGAAGGGAAGTGGGGGAAAAGGGAGGCTTTCCAGGCCGTAGAGCCAGAGGGTCTGGAGTGCCAGGCTAACTGAGTTGGACATTCTCTGGAAGAAAAAGGGTGGCCATGAAAGGATTTTCAGCCAGGGGTGACAGGGTGGTGGTGGGGTATATTAATAGCACCAGCCTGGTCTGGGGGGAAAGCACAGTGGTTGGAGCATTGGCCAGAGGAGGCTGGGCCAGGAAAGGGCAGAGGTTGTGGCCTTCTTGTTGCTCCTCTCTGCATTTTCCTAGCGGAAGTCTCTTTCTTGAGCTGCTTTGTGACCCGCGAATGAAGGGAGGTGTTCCCCCCAGGGTGGTAAACAAGGGGGGTGTTGGGGGGAGCCGGAAGCCAAGGAACTCTGAATTTCAGGGCTGAGCTGAGGAGCCTGGAGAACGGGCAGGGGCAGAGGGAATGGGGATGTTGCACTGTGGCTACTCTTGAGTCCTTGAATACTTGTGGAAAAGGTCAGGGCCTGGCAGCTGCCCTACCATGGATCCCGGCCTCTTGGGACTCTCTATGGGCCTCGGTTCTACTTCCCAGGGCAGGGGCTGCTGAATCACTGGCCACATTGTTCACAACTTTCCCTCCCCCAGCCCTACTGCTGAGGATACCTCCCAGGGGCCATGGAAGGGTGACCTGTCCTTGGATGTGAGCTTGGCAGGGCAGCTGGGTGTATTTCCTGGGCCCTGGGGCTCGGGGGGTACAGAGTTCCCTGTTATTGTCTGGAAGAACAGGTGTTACTAGCACACTCTGGGTGCTAGCCCGTGCCCCACTTTGCTGGTTTAAGTCAGAGACTCAGCCAGACCTCTGAAACTCCAGGCTGCGTCCTTTAGCTCTCTTCTGCTGGGTCAGGAGCTTGCACAAATGTCCTGAGTCTGTTCCCAGCCATAGTGTCTGTGTCTGTGATGGGAGTCTGGACCCAAGCTGGCAGCCAGCATGCTTCTGTCTGCTGCTCAGAGAAGCCCATTGTGTGGGCAGACTTGGAGCCAGGGCCAGCCGGGGCCCTTGGAGACCGGGCCTGGGAGAGGGTGGAAATGCGCAGCCAGGGAAAAAATGACTCCCTAGCTTCCATCCAGGAGCCCTGCTGGCATAGTGGTTACGGGTCGGCCTGCTATCCGCAAAGTCAGCAGTTTGAATCCACCAGCTGCTCCTCTGGAGAAAGATGAGGCTTTGTGCTTTCATGAAGAGTGACAGTCTCGGAAACTCACAGGGGCAGTTCTACCCTGTTCTAGAGAGTAGCTATGAGTTGGCGTCGACTCGATGGCCTTAAATTGTTCTGGTTTTGCTTTTAATCCTCCATCCTAAATGTGGCTGACAAGCCTGTGGCCACAGCATGCCTACAACGCTTTACAAAATAGTACTAACGGACAGTACAAATGCGTGAAGTCCTTTTTAGGGCATTGTGCAAAGTGGAGACGGGGTATACTGCGTAAAGACCAGGCTTCTTAAAGATGCAGGCACAGGGAAGCCAAACACAAGACTGCATGGTAAAAGGCAGCCGTTTTAAAGCCCACTGCTTTCAAGTCAATCCCCACCCGCAGCGACCCTGGAAAGGGCTCCTGAGGCTGGCATCTCCCGAGGACCTGGCAGTGAGCAGCCCATGCCCAACCCGGAGCACTACCAGGGCTCCTCGCAAAAGGGCAGAATATGAATGATGATAATCCCTATTTATGGACAAATGACGGGTAAGTAATTTCCCTCAAGCCGTACAACTAATACATTGGAGGAGTCCGAAATAGAACCGAGGTCTACGCCTGGATGCAGAGACCAAGCCGGTCTCAGCCGGTGATCAAACCACTCCCACGGTGTCAGCGAGATTAAAGAATGTGTCCAGAGCTCAGGCCAACGCCCATAGAAGGTGCTTCATGAATGATAGCCTTTAGTTATATGCCTTTTGTAAGGATGAGACAGTGCACGTGTGGTGCGTAGCATAACAGCTCCCTCGTGGCCGGCACTCGATGTCAACCTTGTAACCGTC